AAGACTCATCCGAGTAATCTTCATATTCGGGAGCCCTACATGGCTGGACCCAACCTTTCCTAGCCCAACTAACTCCCCAAGTTAGTTGGCTTGGTTGTCGTAGGGGTTCAGAGATCTGGTTCTACGCGCATCAATGCGTGTGAACTCGGTTTAATCGTAGGCATTCTAGGCACATTAAGCATCATTTAGCATAGCCGTTTTTAGGGTTGTTACAATAATTCATCCTAATGTACATTGCAATAAATCCAATATCACATGAATGCTACTATCTGAATTCAAATAAACAATCAATCTATTCTCTAATCTAACATACTTGAAGATCGCAAACCCTAACTACGTTACTTTGAAATCATAAATCCAACAATATAAAAAAAATGATTTACTAACCTACTACCACAAATATCCACGGATGCTAGCGACTTTGAAACCCTAGCGGTGAAGATAGATCGCAGCTACTTTGAAACCCAAGAAAAATCGTAGCTAAATTTGAAATTCTAGCGGCGAAATTAGATCGGTGAAAAGGAGCTTCTTTGAATCAATTCTAAGATGAGGATTGTTTTTAAAAAAGTGTACCGTAAACATAGTATTGATACTAAAAAGTGACCTACATATTGTAAATTAATATTTAAAAACATAAACTCTACTGGAAGAATAATCTCCTCATAAACTAAACTTTTAAATGACTACATTGTGGGTATTGTTGTATTGCTCTTTTTAAAAAATGATAGAATGCAGAAAAAGTGTAAAGCCCTAGAAAATTTTTCGAATTAAGACTCGAACCGATCATCGTGGTGAGTGATATTTTACCAAGGAATTAAAAATTTCTTAAATATTAAGGACACCTTAGGAAATATCTTTGAATTATATTTTCAAACCTGTCGGGTTTGCTAAATTTCGAGTTTGAATGAGTGAGATATTACCTATTGAAGTTAGGCTACCCAGTTATGAAAAGTTATTCGAAAATAGTGAGGGGTATATTGATCCTTTCCTTATTCAACCAGATTAATTCGTTTTTAGTAATATTTTAGGGGTCTTATCCTTTTAGGTTCAGTTCTATAATCGTAATCACCTGGGTTTTAGTTGAGAATCCTTTTAGGTTCAGTTTTATGATCCTAATCACCTAGGGTTTTAGTTGAAAGTTCAAGAAAAGAAAAGAAGAGAAAAGAGGAAAGAATGAAGGCGTTCGTCAATGTTCTTGAGTTTAGTTGTGGATTTTTGTCATGGTTTAATCCCCTAAGAGGCATGTAAGCTTCCATAGTGTTGGGTTTGTTCACCAACACGCCAATCATATTATTTTCATCGCAATCTCATTCTTAAAGTAGAAAGACTAGAGTTCTTGATAATTCTTCTTGAAGTTTCATTAAGTTTTGATGTAAGATTTTACTTGAATTAACTTTAAAAGACCATATTTCTTAGGATATCAAGATTTACGTGAGTTGTAACCTATCCAATTAAAGGTAATTGAATCTACTTTCAGCGCCACCAATTTCGCGTCATTTTAATTTCTGAGTAAATAGTTATGGCAATTTTAGTAACCTATACAATGCTGTAACGAATTAGAAAGAGTCGGTTTTTTTATCTTTTTACCTCTAAAAAAATCTTAAATGAATTTCTTGACTATTTAAAAGTTCAAAACAGTCAAATTCTCATCTTTACTAAGAAAAATCATAATTCTTGGCCATGGAGAATTCAAGAAACTAATTCAAGAATTTCAAGAAAGGTTTTCTTGATCATTTACCTTCAAGCTAGGGTTTCAAGGTTTTTATTCACGTTCTTATCCAAGATTCTTCAAGAAACTTGTTATTTCTATCTAAAATCATTCCTAACATGATCATAATCTTGAATCTCATAATACAAATTCAAGGTAGAGTTGAGAGTTAAGTTTTAAAAAAAAATTCAAAGTCCTTTTGAGTCCTATTGATGAGTCTTCTACAACTTCTAGTAATTTGTTCCAAGGCTCGAGTGAGTAAAAGGGAGAGGAAAAAGTCTTCATGAGTCTACTTTGTCATCATGAGATCCTTCATATCATGAACCGTAACTATTGAATTCATAATTAATATTCAAGAAAGAGTTAAGAGTAGAGTTCAAGAAAGCTTTTGAGTTCAATTATGAATCTTTTGAGATCAACTATAGATTTGAGCTAAGATTGGAGGAAGTAAGTAAGAGAATGAGAAGAGTTGTACTCATCAGTTCCATGTAGTTATGTAGACCTTCGAGTCGAGTTGTTCATGTCCATAACTTTCGCATGAACTCCATCAGTTAAGTACCTTTTAGAGGAGTTCTATCTTCAAGTTCTAAGTCTTGAGTATCGAGTTATATCTATGGTTATTGAAAATCTTGATTGAGTCTTTCACGTCCATAATTTGACATGAAACATATATACGATGTCTTTTACAAATATTTTAATTTTGTTTTAAGGCTTATAAACTGAAGTTGAGTAAAGAATAAAAGTAATGTTCAATTTTTTTTAAATTGATATATGGGAACTAAATATTTCCAAGAGTAAATGTTTTACATTTAAGATGAGACGAAACTTAAATTTTCAAAAGAGTTTTGAGCAGTTGCATTATCTTTTAAGAAAAAAGATGAGTTTAAAAAAGAGTTTCTAAAACATGATTAGTATGACAATCGAGTATGTCATCAATGTTTAAGCAGTACGGTATCTAGATATACCATCAATGTTTATGCAGTATGACTTACCGAGTTATCAATAATATGATGTGATATGTTTTTATGAAAGATTTTTTAAGTGTAGTTATCTCTTTAAGAGGGTAGTTTTGAATAATTATCTCAAACGAAAGAAAGAAGTTACTTTAAAAACATAAGGAGCTAGTATATTTTGTAAATAGTATTGAGCACCGAATCGGGGGCGAGCATGAGTTCAGATAACTCACTTCTCCATAAGACCTTATAGCCACCACGGGTAGAAAAGGGTCATACTTTTTAGATGAACTCTTTTCACAATAGACTAGTGGATCCACTAAATTAAGTTAGGTCTTATACTGATGGTAAGGTATATGATGGTCCTTGGCAGCATGAGATAAAGTGTTGTATCATCACTATAGCTTAAGTGATGGTTATCGGTTAGAGAAACTCCTAGAGAAGTTATTGTTTTTTTATATACATAAGTTAATTGTAGTCCTATATACATTTCAGAGTTATGTTGTGTCGTTGTTATATACACAGAGTTGACATCATATTTTTAAACAACTTTTCTTTATATTGCACTTGTTTTAAACTGCTTTATATTTAAATGAGTACAGTTAAATATCTTAAGTTGAGTATCCCTAGTTAATTTATGCTTCATTGAGTCAGAGTATCATATTTTTAAAGTTGAGTATCCAATCTTTGAGTTAAGTATCTAATCTCTGAGTTAAAAATCTTATCCTTGAGTACTTATAAGTTGAGCAAGTTGAATATCCCTGAGTATTCCTTGAGTTAAGTAAGTTTGAAAAATGGTAAGTATGTTTCCATTTTTATCAAGTACAATTATGTTATGATTTAGGATTCCCCTTACATCCTCATACATTCCACGTACAGAGCCAATTGATCTGCATCTTCTCATGGTGCAGACACGTGTATTCAGGATCATCAATAGGAGCTTCATTGATACGTTCGAGGGTTCGAGTTATCTATTGTGAGCCTCCTTACTTCCGGAGGGTTCCATATTTTTAGTTGTTAGGAAGTTGTAGGTCTTCTCCCAACTTTCATCATTGTCATTTAGAGGCTTCATAGATAGCAATATAGTTAAGAAGTCTGGTACTATTCATTTATTTTGTTAAGGTTATAAAGACTAAAATTGCTTATTTATGGCGAGTTGACTGTATTATTTTCGTTATTCAGAATATTCTTTAGAGTTAAATTTTGTATTTAATGAACTTTCATTTCAATTATTTAAGCCTTCTTATGCTTAACTAAGTCTTCGCTTGTAATCAGCCAGAATGAAGGTTCACCTAGAAACCAGCAAATGATTCTCGAATGTCGATCATTTCCAAGGTGTAAACTCGAGTCGTGATAAAAAAAATGAAATTAAACACATCACTGAATAAAGTCCTCTGTCTCTTTCGAAAATGTTAACCCGCAACGCAAAAATGACTAAATAACATACACACACACACATATATATAAATGATTCTCGAGTGTCGATCATTTCCAAAGTGTAAACTCGAGTCGTAATAAAAAAAATGAAATTAAACAGATCACTAAATAAAGTCGTCTCTTTTCGAAAATGTTGACCCGCAACGCAGAAATGACTAAATAACATACACACACACACACATATAAATAACATACACACACACACACATATACATATATATATATATATATAAGAAATGACTAAATAACACACACACATATACATACATACATATATATATACATACATACATACACACACACACACATATATATATATACATACATACATACATACATACATATATACATACATACACACACACACATATACACACACACACACATATATATATATATATACACACACACACATGTATATATATATATATCCACCAATGTAAATCCGCCTTTGCTGACACCTTACACGACTTGACACATTAGTAATTCAATCTTACACAACTTGAGGAAGGAGTACAATTTTCTTCAATTTCATCACCTTTTGGAATTCATAAAAGTAATAACAATGAGATGAATGCTAAACATGAAATATGGAAGTTCCAACTAAACAGGAAGATAATATGTCAAAAAAGATCCCCTGCACCTCCATGAAGTTCGACCTCTCTCTGTACACAGAGATCAGTAGCTTTTGACATCTGGCTTACTCAATACACCATAGCCTTTTGGAAACTGCAATATTCTATTCAAAAAAGCTGAAATGCCGAGACACAAACTCGAAACTCGGCGGCAGTCCAAGAGCAGCCAATCAATTGTAAGACAATAAGAGACTCCGCTAAAATCACATTCAGAATTCAAAGACTGCACAAAACGGAGTCTCCAAAATCGTTAACAAGAACGGCAGAAACAGAACCAACGTCCATCAACATAGAGCGACTTTTAAGCATAGGAGTATTTTTTTCCCAAAAGGGCTTCAAACTCTGTGAAACATTCAACCTGTGATTTTACAACAAAACTTGCAATTTCTAGCATAAGCATACACAAATCCAGTATCAAGCTAAAATTTGACAAACAACACAAAAGGAGACAACAAGAAAATACAGACCAAACAAAGTACTAACACTTCACTTTATTCCCACAATCGACATAAGAAACTGAAGCTTGTCATTCACTTCTTCCAAAGTGGACGGGTTACTGAACATAGATGGAGGCTCAACTCCAGTAAAGATGTACAGTGCCTTAAGTTCATCGACCAACAAAGGTTGGGTGGCTGCTGTGTATCCCACAATTGTTCTCATTGCGTTCATCTTCTCCCATATCTTCTCCTCACTGAAGGACTCCTAGCAATATCATCAAGCAAGCAAAAATGAATCCAAATGGCTTCAAATACTCTAGCCAGGGAATGAAACAAATCAACATGACAACCAGTCAGTTGAAGAAAACCAGATATGAAAAATTGAACATGGATAGAGAAGTACTCATGCATCTTGCCTCCATTGCCGATAAAACTATAGCACTCAGACAATCTCTTCAAGTGAGAAAGAGGGACTACCCTTTGATATCTCACAAACCAGTATCAAAAATTGTAGGAGCAAGACATGTTCAAAAACGCAACACTAGCAGAGGGATTCTACGATTTGAATTATCAGTTATGCATGCAAGCCACTAGGTCATAATCACACTACAGTAAAAATTGGAATACCATATAATCTTTGTAAATGCAACTCACAGTTGGTACGAAAACCACATGGACCTAAGTGGAGCACAACACATAAGAGGATGGACAGCCCGACCAATTCGAGACTGCAGGCTGGAGATTGATTGAATAACACTAATCATAATCAAAATCGTATACACGAACCCACGTTTCCAAGTCTCTCTTTGATGCTGCTTCGCATCATAATTGGTTAGGATAAACCAAAAAATACAAGCCACAGGTGCGGAACTTGATTAGTTGCTCTTGAAACACTCATCCCGCTAAGCCCATTAGTTTCTCTCTCTAAAAAGCTATCTATTGATTCAAGAAGGCACAGTACATCAAATATAAACCTGGCACACAAGCATTGTTTTACTAGTCTTGTAATATTCTTCTTTTAATACTCCACATGGACGAACACTTTGGATAATGTTGCCCCTGGGAATGCCAAAAAAACTGGTCATCTTTCTCTTAATACATATATCATATATAGTTTATAGAAACAATCCTGAACATCTTAGTTTTTTAAAAAAAAAAATACAAACTAAATCTGAAGTTAAAAAATGAGGAAAACAAATTGAAGTTCGGTAAATAAAGACGCATCGAATCTATTTGCTGGACCACAAGTATCTTTGCAAGTTCTGTACAGCTAACTGACATTCGTAAACTAGTAAGGCCGCATTTGTCATATGCAATCACATTCTTCTACACTCTTACTTCCACTTTCCAGACCCAGAAAAGGATGATCTTAAAGGTTCCAAAAAGAAAATTGAAAACCCGGGATCTTCATTTACTATCATCCTATTAAGATCCAATCTACATGCATCCCAAAACTAAAAGAATATTTTGACGCGACTGCCAGCGGACGGTTTGATGAGTGCCGAGTATAAGAGCCCACCAATGCTGAAGCAAAATGGCCTCATACCGTGTTGTAGTGGAGCATCCCGTGCATCACCACCAAGGAATGTAAGAGTAATGTGACTAATGAAAGAGCACAAATAACAATGGAAAAGAGAAGCCAAACCAATGGAAGAAATGAAGTAGAAGTTGCACCCTCTCTTCTAAGAGAACCAGTGTGTTTGCTTGAGATACACAAAGAACAAGACCGGGTGAACAAGAAACTACTTTACTTGAGCATTGGCGGAGAATTGACACAGTTTCTTTTGGTAAATTCATAATTAGTAGCACTTGTTGCTAAAGATTTTTCCTTTCATGAGGTAAATTAAGCAATCAACAGTCTGAATAATTCCCAATATCTAATCAAAGAAATATATTGATAAGCATACTAAATGAGTCCAGCCAGGTTAACCTAAACATGCTTTCAAATAGATTGACCAATTTTTTCCGGAGGAACTTCAAAGAACCAAGAAAACTATGAAATATTAAAAGATAACCCTCTCCGAGAATCCCCATAAAAAATTCTGGAACGCAACCTAAAGTGGCAGAACTAGACTTAGAACTGACCTTGACAGGTTTGGCCTCTGGAATCCCTGCTCTTCCAGAAATCTGATCAACACCACCGGCATAGGCATTTTCCTTTCGATCAGTGTTCCCTTTTCTTTCAGACGGAAGGTTCCCGCGGTCATCAGGTGCCTTCCTTTGAACCTCTTTTGCAGCTACCAGGTTATCCTTGCCTTCCAGTGGACGCAAAGCATCTTTTGCAACATGCTTGCCATTGGATGCTCCTTTAGGATCCTTGGTCGAGTTCGCAGCTTGCCCACCATCCTTGCTAATTCCTGCATCTCTGCTTCCGGGCAGTGTTCTGTCCATCTCAGCAACTTTCTTGGCCTTCTTGGAAACACCACTTTGGTTGACCTCGTCTCTTCCTTCTTTGGTCTCCCTTTTCACCCGTAAATGCTTCTCGTCATGCTCCACCTTAACTTCATCCTTTACCTCTTCCTTTTTCCCTATGATTTTCACATCAGTGTCCTCCTGCTGCTTGTTGCTCAACCCCTCCCCTTTCTCTGATATTGCAACATCTTTACTTTCACTTGCTTTCTTCTTTTTGTGGTGTTTCTTTGAGCTTTTGCTGACATTTGGTTTCCTTGTTACTTCTATTATCACGTTTTCTTCCGAAGTAACCTCAGGTCCTCCTCCAGTTTTTGTTCCTTGAAGCTCTCTCACAAGACTATCTACCCTCTCATCCTTGCTTACCAATGGCTTCTCTATGATTTCAGGACGCGTAACCTTTCTATCCTCATTTCCCTCAAGTACACCTGAACTCCCTAATGAATCTTCCTTCACTCCATCACCTACATATACTTCAACAAAATTCTTATCTGGCAGACCTGGTGTTAAAGTAAGGTCTTTTTCGCCCTCATTTTCTCCCCTGGCTTCTTTGGCGACCAGATCCAAACCCTCAGTTACCTTAATCTTTTCATCAAATTCCCAATTTTCTGCTTCTCTAGCTCGTTCGGTTTCTAAATTCTCCTCCTTCAATGGTCCCTCATTCTCTCCTTCCAAGTATTCACCCACATCTTCTTCGTATCCTTCTTCTTTAACATTCTCATCTACATTTATCTCTCTTTCTTTCTCCGCTCTGCCAACATCTTCATCTTCAACAGGAGTCTGTCCTCCCTCGTATCCACCGCTCTCCAACTCAATTCTCATTTGAACCCCTTCTTTTACATCCTCCATTTCTTTCTTTTCCTCCTCTTCCATCCTCATTTCTCCACCAAAACCAGGACCTTTCCCTCCTACTTGTTCATCATCTTCATACATATCCCCATACTCCAACAGTAGAGGTGGCTCTGACCTCGGAAGCAACGTATTCATAAGCTTCTCAATACAAGTATAACTAGCAAAAGCAAGACCAAAAGGAACCGAAGATGCAAATCCGAGAGCAGAAATAACAATAAGCGGAGGAAGAACCACTGGAGCAGAAGAGATTACAATACCTGTAATCATAACCTTCTTCCCCAACCCCAATCCTTTGTTCACAATCCATCTTATATTACTCTCTTTCAATTTCCCCTCGTCCTCATCATCTTCCTCATCTTCTTCCTCCTCATCTTTTAACGAAGTATGCTCCACAATCCTCCACTCCACAATTTGATCTTCCATCCTACTAACAAACCAAAAATATTATTTAAAATGAAAAAAATAACACAAACAAAAATCAAGCAAAATAAGAAAGTAATTCTGCTAAAAACGAATCAAGACATCCGACGAAAATCAATCGAAATAAGCCATGAGAATGTCTGTAGGAGCTTTGCTGATCAGTGGAAAAACAAGGATTTAATTAATTCATTAACTCAAAATTTGAAAGAAGTAAAATCACGGAGAAATCGAAGAAGACTCCTTCAACATGAGCTATATACAAACACGAAAAATAATTTTAATCATATATAAATAATTATTAATTTAATTAATAAGATTCTATGAACCTTGCACCGATACTAGCTCCGCCCCTATTTCCGGTAAGTGGAATGAGAAGCTTCCACAGTAGTAGTACTTGAACAATAAAACCATATAAAAATAGAAGTAAAATGAAGGAAGAAAACACATATAGATGCCCAGTAAAGTAAAGAAACAAGAGTATAGCTGATTGACCTCAAAAACGACTGAATCAACAATTACAGAGCAGTTCTACTTGAAAAATATCATGATAAAGTACCAATTTGAGAAGAGACCAAATATTTGATATTTGTTTGCTGAGAATACAGAGATAAAGGATGGAGGATGCGTTGGGCAGTGAAATAGTGGGAGAAGACGACAGGCGTCGTAGTGGAAATGGGATAACTGCATGCAATTATGATGAGGCAATAGCAGAGGTATCCACGTAACTGCACACAACTGACGATTTTCCGCTCCGCATCCCAACGTTTCTTTTCTCCTTTCCTTTAATAATAATGGTCCTTTATGCTATTTTAAAATGTCCAATAATTTTATATATTTATTTTATGAATAATTTAATTTATTTCTTATTATTTCCTCTATTTTACAGAAAAAAATTATCTGATTTGATTTGATATCGAGTTTAAAAATATATATTTAAAATTTTATGATCCTAAATTAAAATTATGTCAAAGATACAAAAAGAAATTTGATTTTAAACATATTTAGTGAAAAACTAAAAACGAAATATTATAAAAAATAAAAAACATCATTCTTTTATAAACAAGCTAAGAAAAAGACTATTCTTTTTCAAAAAAGGAAAATATTAATTATAATTATCCGCAATAGGTTGATTACAATACAAAGACATTGAAGGATACTATTTATCTAAGTCTTATCAAAATGTCATAAAAAAAATTTATTATGATTTTAAAAATATATTTATTATATTTAAAAACTATATTATATAATTACCTTTTTTTATAATTTCTTATAAAATATATAAAATCAATCGTAAATAACTATGGAACAAGGGAGTACTTTATTTTATTTTTTTTCGTAATGATGTCATTTGGGCTACACGACCACTCAACTCCTCTGAGGCTTTCAGCTACAAATTCAACCAAGAAATTATGTAGGTATGAAATTACGATTTAAAATTAACTAGACTATAGATTGTAAGTAATATTTTTTGATGATAATTTCAAATTATTTTTTTTGAAATTTTAGATTACTAAATTTAAATTATATATTCAAATGCTAATTTGATACTATTATAATATCAAATTACTTATTTAAGTGCAGGTGCAAAAAATATCACACTCGATAGTATTTGAATTTTTATGTTAAAGGAATTTTAATTTTCTTTTAGTATTTTATATGACTTGATACTATATATGATTGAATTGAATGAGTTCCTTGCACGTGATTGTATACTTGAGTAAATTTGTGTACGTTTCGGATAATTCTATACGTAATAAACTTAGACATGTCTTCTATGGGTTGTGTACATTAATATATTCTTTGGTTCTTAAGAATTTTGTTTTTAATTATTTTCAATTATTGGTTTATTTTGACAAATTAAGAAAAAATAATTTTTTTAATTTATTTATTCTCAATTAATTACTTTGAAAAAGATTGAATTTCTTAAAAAATTTAAGTTTTTAATTTATCAATTTCATAATTAATAGAGATAAAACAATATATACACTATGTCAATATTAATAGATATGACAATCTAAAATTTAATAAATAATTACGAACAGATATAAGTATATAGGAGTCTACAATACAATGTGATCGATGATATGTGTACTAGTCTGATATATATATATATATATATATATATATATATATATATATATATATATATATATATATATATATATATATTATAGAACAGTGGGTGGAAGTTGTTAGTATCGACATATGTGGTGGTTAATGTTAAATTTCAATTTGTGTAGGGTAATTTTAGAAAATTAAACGAAATGTGTCAAATAAGTCTTCGTTTGATTTTTGGTGACAGATTGATCAAAAGCTGGTCAAATTCTCTTTAAAATATAATTAAGTAAATTTGGGACCAAATTAACATTTTTAAAACTTTCTAATCTTTTATAAGATACAAAAAAACAATTCATTTTTTCAATTTTTATAATTTTATTCAAATAATTTTTTTTAAAAAAAATGAAAATAGAATTTTATCTTCTTCTTCTCCCAATGGTCTCTCTTCTCTTTTTCTTCCTCTTTAGAAAATCTGAAAATCCGACTACCAAAATAAATATTCTCCCCCATTATCTTATCTTCCTTCTCATCTCCGATCGTGACTCTCTCCTCTTTCTGAACTAAGATTGTGTTAGACTTAAAATGGGTAAGTCATTTTTTGAGAGATTCTACAATTTTGGAACAATACTAAGCTTTTTTCTTGGGTTAATGAAGAATAAATCGTTCTATAGATGTGAAAATGAATAATATTGTAATGGTACCTATTATTTATTGTTTTAGAAAGAAAATTAACAAACCCAAAAAGCCATAATTTTGAGAAAATATATATGTAATGTTCAGTGAAAATTCATTTTTTGTTGTTTTTGTTGTTCTTTTTATGACCATTTTGTTCATATGATTTAAGAAATGTAGTTTTGTTCAATTGTCCAACAAATATTTGAAATGTAGGAGATTAAAAAAATATATTTCTCAATCACTATCTATAATTAGTGGGGGGGAAACAATGACTACTACTCTGTATCACACTCAAATTCAAAAGGCAAGGAGAACAAGAAGGGAAGGAGAAAGACCTAGAGATGGAGAAGGAGAAACTGAAAAAGAAAGAGAAAGAGAAAAAAGTCGAAGTCGTCAATTATGATGTGAAGCAACAATATCCACCGTTGATTATGTATACCATTATGAATTACCTTTTTGTTGATAAGTTGTATAAAATAATTGGTGAAGTGTTTATTTTTGCTGATAATATTAATGATTTTTTTTAAACAAATGTCAATTATGATGGTGAAGAAGAAATATGGTGTATGTGACAACATATATAACCTATGTTGTAAAAAATACCACAGAATTATCTACATGTACCCCAATAGAAAGGATATATGTGGCAACATATATAACCTATGTTGTAAAAAGCACCATAGATTATTACATGTGCCCCAACAGAAAGGATATATGTGGCAACATATGTCACAGAAAGAAGATATGTGACAATATATGTCACATAAGAAGATATGTGGTAACATATGTCACAGAAAGGAGATATGTGGCAATATTTCATTGATACCAATGTGGTGTCTGTGGCAACATATATAACCTTTGTTGTAAATAAAACTATAGAATTATCTGCATGTTCACCAACAGAAAGGATATACGTGGCAACAAATGTCACACTATGAATTGTCAAAAAAAATTAAAAAAGTAAAATAAAAATGTCTAAGACAATTGTCCCTTCATTTTCTCTCTCTCCTCTCCTCTATAAAAGGTCGTTTCGTTTCATATTTCAAATTTAATTTATTTTTATTAATTTTCATTTTCTTTTCTCCCTTTCCTTTCTCTCGTTCCATTATTTCTTTCCCGTTCAAATTGTTGCTATGCTTTCTACAACATCAGTGGTAATATATTGTGATTTTCTTCTATAACAAAGCGTCGTTGCCCTCATCATTTCAAGCTTATCGTTGATATCTTCTAAGATAAAATTTAATAGTTATCAGTATTAAATCAGGACTTTTTTAGTGGTTTTTATCACTTATTTGTTTGTAGGATGGTTGGGTTGTTATTCCTTTTGAATATTATCTGATTTAAAAATATATATTTTAGGATGTACATGTTGCCACATATGACATGTTTGTTGCAATTTTTCCAATAACACGTACATATGTTGCCACATATGACATGTCTGTTGTAATTTTTCCAACAGGACGTGCATATGTTGCCACATATGTCACTTCAAGAATGGGTTAATTGATAAATTAAATGATTTTTGAAATGAAAAAATGTCAAATTGGATAATATTTTAGTACTTTGGACTATAATTAAGTAATAAAAATATGCTATAACACTTGGAACAACGATTTACAAGGGTGATATAACTATCATATGAAGTTACTTGGCCATTGTATGATGAACTAGTGATATTATAGTCTTTGTAAAAATAACAATGAAAGTTGTTGTATTAGACCATATATATATGCTTAGACATGTTGTATAACTATACATTAGAGTTATATGTTGAATTATGTGACAATATAATTGAATTAACCCTAAAAACAACATTTATGATATATATATATGTTGTCACATATGACATGTCTGTTGCAATTTTTCCAACACGTGCATATGTTGCCACATATGTCACTTCAAGAATGAATTAATCGATAAATTGAACGATTTAGGAATGGAAAAATGTCAAATTGGACCAAATTTTAGTACTTTAGACATAATTAAGCAATAAAAATATGTTATAACACTTGGAATAACGGTTTAAATGCTGTTATATAACTATCATATGAAGTTACTTGGTCATTGTATGATGAACTAGTGATATGATAATCTTTGTAAAAATAATTGATAGAATTGAGGAAGGTTGTTATATTAGACTATAATTTTGTACGTAAACATGTTGTATGACTATATATTAGTGTTACGTGTTGAATTATGTGACAATATAACTGAATTAACCCCTCAAAGACCATTTTATGATATACATATGTTGCCACATATAACATTCTGTTGCAATTTTTCCAATAGCATGTGCATATGTTGGTACATATGTCATTTCAATGATGGCTTAATCAATAAATTGAGCAATTTAGAATGGAAAAATGTTTAATTGGACCAAATTTCAGTACTTTAAATCATAATTATGCAATAAAAATATATTATAACACTTGAAACAACGATTTATGAGGGTGTTATATTACTATCATATGTAGTTATTTGGTCATTGTATGGTGAACTAGTGGTATGATAGTCTTTGTAAAAATAATTGATAGAATTGATGAAGGTTGTTGTATTAGATCTAGGGGTGTGCATAAACACCGGAAAACCGAAACACCGAACCGAAACCGAAATTTTTCAAAATTTCAATTTCGGTATTTCGATTTTCGGTTCGGTATTCGGTTTATTTTTTTGTCGGTTCGGTTTTCGGTACGTATTACTTTGGAATTCGATATTTCGGTTTAAACCGAAATATTATATTTTAATTTATAAATTATAGTATATTTAATAATTATTAATATTAAATAATTTTTTTAAAAAAAATAAAAAACCCTAAATCCCTAATACCCTATCCTCTTCACTCTTCAGCACAACTTCTTCAACTTCATCCTCTCTCTTCAACTTCATCCTCTCCTCTTCACTCTTCAGCACAACTTCTGCCTTCTTTTCTCCTCTTCCTCTTTTACTCCAGCCGGCGTCCACCGCCACCATTAGCAGCGCCGCCAGCCGCCGTCCTCGAGCAGCAGCCAGCTGCAGCAGCCGCCCGCGAGCCGCGGCAGCAGGTAGCAGCAGCCAGCAGGTCAGCCGCAGCCAGCCGCCGGCGACAGCAGGTCAGCAGCAGCCAGCCACCAGCCAACCCAGGTGCAGGTATGTAAATCGTAATTTCAGTTTTTTTGATTATTTTTTTTTATTTTTTTCATCTGATTTTATTTTTATTACTAGTTAATAGTTATTGGGAATTTATTATGATTTTTTTTATATATATAGATGGCTGAACAAACAGAATTAAATATGGGTGTAGCTGATCAAAGTCGAATAAGTATGGCTGATTCTACGGATAATACACCTACTAATAGCAATGATTTGTCGATTGGTACAGAAATAACAAAAAAAAGAAAAGAAATGGATCCTAGGTCTCTTGTTTGGCAACACTTTGAAAAGGTTTTTGAAAATGGTGTATTAGTTAAAGCAAAGTGCTTACATTGTAAACAATATTATGCTGCCAATACAACAAGAAATGGAACAAGTGGACTAAAACAACATTTGACTTGTCGGTGTAAAGTGTATAAACCTCCGACTGTTGCACCCGGTATTCAAAAATTATTAAATATTCAAAATAACAATTTAGAGACTTGGAAATTTGAGCAAGAGGTATGTAGGAGAGCTTTAGTTGAGATGATTATTTTAGATGAACTACCTTTTAGTTTTGTTGAAAAAGAAGGCTTTAAGAAGTTTATCAGTAAAGTCCAGCCTTTGTTTCATATTCCTTCTCGTAGAACCATAACAAGGGATTGTTATGAAGTTTATGGTGAATTGACAATAAATTTGAAACAATCTTTAAGAGAAATACAACCAAGAATTTGTCTCACAACAGACACATGGACTTCAGTGCAAAGAATCAATTATATGTGTTTGACTGCTCACTTTATTGATAGGGATTGGGTGCTTCATAAAAGAATATTGAATTTTTGTCCTATCACTAGTCATAAAGGTGAGCATTTGGCTGAGTCTATTAGTAATTGTTTACTTGATTGGAAGTTGGATAACGTTTTTACTGTTACGGTTGATAATGTTTCTTCAAATGATGTGGCAGTTTTAGAGTTGTCCAAAAAATTAGATATGTAGGGAACTAATTTGATGGAAGGTAAGCATCTCCATGTGAGATGTATGGCTCACATACTTAATCTAATTGTGCAAGATGGTTTGAAAGAAATTGGTCCTTCTATCAAAAAGGTGAGACAAATGGTGAAATATGTTAGATCATCTTCTTCAAGGGCAAGAAACTTCTTGAAATGTGTTGAAATGCAAAAGATAGAATGTGATAAGATGTTGTCTTTAGATGTGCCTACTAGGTGGAATTCCACCTATTTGATGTTAGACACAGCAGAAAAGTTTGAGAAGGCTTTTGAGAGGTTTGATCTTTATGATGGTAATTTTAATTCTTTTCTTGCTACTGATGTTTGTGAAGATGGAAGTATCGCAGGGTCAATTCAATATGAAGATTGGGCTAATGTGAGGAATGTCACAAAGTTTCTTGAAAAATTTTATGAACTCACTTTGAAAGTTTCAGGTTCACGGTATGTTACTTGTAATGTTCATTTTGAAGATATATGTGAACTTGATGCTTATTTGAAATTATGTGTAGCAAGTGATGACCTTGATTTAAGTAAAATGGCTTCGGGAATGAAAGAAAAATTCAAGAAATATTGGGGGACTCCTAAAAAAATGAACAAAATGATTTTTATTGCTTCTGTTTTGGATCCTCGCAATAAATTTGTCTATGTTAGTTTTGCTCTTGAAGAATTACTTGGGGAAGAAACGGGAAATGTAGTGAATACGAAAGTAGAGGCTTACTTGAGGGATTTGTTTGCGATATATGTAAGTAAGTATGGAAAAGGTTCCAAAAGTCAACCATCTTCATCGGACTCATCTGATTCTTCTGGTAGTGGTATTTCTCAAAATATATCCAAAAATTCTTTGAGAACTAAGTTGCACATGAAGAAACAAAAGAATGATTCTGGAAGTTTAGGTGTGAAATCTGGGTTGGATAAATATCTTTTTGAAGACCAAGAACCTGAATCTGAAGATTTTGATATTTTGAGTTGGTGGAAAGTTAATTCTCCTAGATTTCCAGTACTTTCACAGTTGGCTCGAGATGTATTGGCTATTTGTATGTCGAGTGTGGCATCGGAATGTGCATTTAGCACCGGTGGTCGAATTCTAGATCCCTTTAGAAGTTCATTGACTCCCAAATGTGTGCAATGTCTTATTTTTGTCCAAGATTGGCTTAGACAAGAAACCAAGCCTATTTGTGTTGAAGAAAGTTTGGAGTTTCTTGAAAAAATTGAACTTGGTAAGACTTTTTATTTTTTATTTATTTATGGAAAAAATAAAATACTTATTGTGTTGTATCTTGTATGACATGTTTCTTTTTATTGATTGTAGAGATGGCAAATAGTGGAAGAAGCTCTTCCATTGTTGATGTATGATTGACTTGCAAGCGGTGAGTTTAATACATCATTTATTTAATCATATCATTTTTTAATCTTAAAAGTAGTATTCTAAGTTTCTAATATTTGATTTTATCTTAAAAGGTCCAAGGGTCAAGACAATGAAGAAATAATTTTGTTGGCACGTGACACTCGAAAGTTGAAAGCGATCTCATGGAAGAAAGTCAAGAAACTCATTATTGTTGTTTGTTATTGTTGAAAGTAATCTCATGGAAGAAGACAAGAAGTTCAAAATACATTGTTTGTTGCTTATTATTGTTTATTATGAGTTAATGAAAGACTTTATTGTTACTTGTTAGATTCTTATTATGTTGTATTTGTGAAGACATTAAGTTATTAACTACAAATCTACAATGCAACTTTTGTTTTAGTATCATTGTGAATTTAAAATTTGGTGTTAATGCCTAATGACATATTGAAGATTTGAATCATTGATAATTGATATATTGAAATTTGGTAGTAAATTAGTAATGCACTTCTTTGATTTATTGTCTATTTTTATTTTTTAGCCGATTAAGTTGAAAAATCAAACAAAAAATTGTAAAGTTTAAAATTTTAAAAAGCCCACTAAACAGGCCCATTAAAAAATCGAAATAAAAAACCAAACTGAATTAATAAAAACCGAACTGAATTAACAAAAACCGAATCGAACCGAAATATTTCGGTTCGGTATTCGGTACATAATTTTAAAAAACCAAAAATCGAAAAAATCGAAAAAAAATCGAACCGAACCGAAATACCGAATGTCCACCCCTAATTAGATCATAATTTGTGCTTAGACATGTTGTAGGACTATATATTTGTCTTACATGTTGAATATGTGACAATTTAATTGAATTAACCCCCAAAAGATCATTTTATGATATACATATGTTGTCACATATGACATTTCTGTTGTAATTTTACCAAAAGAACATGCAAATGTTGCCACATATGTCACTTCAAGGATGACTTAATCAATAAATTGAGCGAGGAATGAAAAAATATCAAATTGGACAAAATTTTAGTACTTTGAACCATAATTAAGCAATCAAAATATGATATAACAACTGAAACAATGATTTACAAGAGTATTATATAACTATCATGTCAGTTGCGGCATGTAAGTCATATGTTGTTATACGTCTAGCTTATATGTTGCTGCTTGTGTAAGTTATATGTTGCAACATATGTCTATTCTGTTGATATTGAAATAACCTTTATGTTGCTACCTATGACTATAATTTGTTCCTATAGTCAATTGTTGCAACATATAACAATTTGTTGGAAGCGCGAATGCAAATTATTGAAAAAATTGCAGGTGCACATATGATGATGTGTGATATCAAAACAATTAATTTTACATATCAAAATAATGGTGTGTGACCCTAATCATTTATGAAGTAATTTCAATTGATAGCAAACGAAATTTGGTCCACTGATTAAATTAGTTAAATCTTATTTAAGAAGAAGAAATGAAGAAAGTTCAAGGACAAACACCGAAGACCAATAATGTATGAAAAGAAAAAGAAAAGGATAAAGAGAACAGGAAGAAAGACAAGCAAGCAAGCAAGAACGAAGAAGAACAAGAAGAAGATGAGGAAGAAGGCGAATACGACGAGAGGTGGGAAGGGGATATTTTATTTCCCCTTTTGGTATAGCCTTTTGGTGGCTTCCCTCAATTTTATTTCGCACAAAAATTAGTTAAATTAGGTTATAGTTAATTTACCCTTTTACCCTTCATTTAATTCAATGGATCAAACTGTCAACTTATAAATTTAAGAGAAACTCCACAATCCTTCATTAATCATATAATCGTCACTTACACCCAATACTTAGACTTATGTCACCGCCCATTTATTTTGAAACCTTACTGTCACTTTTTTTTAAAGTCCCGAGTAATGTGGTCTTTGTATTGATTTTCATGTTCCCATAATTACTCCATGTGGTTTATCTTGCCAACACATTGATACATGTGGCTTTAATTCTCATTCTCACCATTCTTTGTCTTAGTGAAATAGAATTTTTAAGGACTCATCTTTGTTCTTCTCATCAAAGTGTTGATGTAGTTTTCGATATTTTTTTATTGCTATTTTTTGCTCGCCTTAAATTCTCCTTTTTTATTCATCTATATGCAAATAAATTCATATATGAGAAACCATTGTTGTAATAAGAAAAGGGGGAAAGGAGAGTTATTTGTTTTGTTTTTCTTTTCGAAATTTGATTCTGAATTTAAGAATACTCAAGTGAACTAACTTAAATTTCTAAATCAATCTTTGCTTCAATTTTAGGTATTCTTTTTACTTTATTTTTTATTTGAGTAACTAATGACAACTATAAGATATGAATTTGAACTATTGATATGAGGAATTGAGAATTACACATATTTGGATTTAACTTTTGATAAGTTTCAACTCTTCAGTTTTTAGATTTGATTTCTTAATTTTGCATCTTCATATGTTATCCCCTTGATTTTCTTTTCGTTGTTCAACTTTTTTTTCTCCCGTTTCTAAATTTGGCTCAATAGATAGATTTATAGAGCTTTAATTTTAGATATAGTAGCTAGGAATAAAATGAGAGAATTCGTTTGATTTCAGCATTAATTCGCACATTGGTATTTTATAAATCATTTGATCTAGACTGTCTCTCTAGGAAAACTTTGCTCTAACTTCTCTCTAAAATATATACAGCAATGGTAACTATGCAAACAAAGGAACCTCGTCCCCCCGATCCACCTACTGCATCCAAAGAAAACCTAGCAGCAACCCAATCTCTACCACAACCCACCACCCACCACCCCACCTCAGCAAACAGTCACTGGACACCCACCACTCACAGCCCTCTTCTTTCGATCTCTACCGGAGAACCCAATACCAAAACACAACTCCCTCAAAATCAACCCTAAGTATCCTCCTTTGATAGGCAAATACAAAAATCAGATTTAAAAAAAAAAGAAACCATAGTCTATCAACAACATGAAGAGTTCTGTCAAAACATTGAGCACAAAAGAGATACCACCCAAATTCAAGACAGTTATGACACACAAATGAAGGCTACAATTCAGGATGGGAAACAAGGAATTCCATTGTGTAATAGAGGAAATGAACAGTCGGTTTCTACACCAACGTTCGCAGCAAAGGTTCAAGCCAAGTTATTCAACGTCAATGACAAAACACAGCAAGTTAGTATTCGGCGTGGAACTCATTTAGGTAAACATGCGGTCTACTTTTCCGCCGAGAATTACTTTATTAATTTAGCATAAGAATTCAAATATACTCTTATTGGAAAGTTCTATCGAGTTTAACCTACAATGGATGAGATTAGGAAAGTCTTTATTAGACAATTCCAATTGATTGGGTCTGTGAAAATTGCTTTCTTCGATTATCGACATGTCTACTTAGATTTCACTAATGAGGTGGACTACAACCATGTTCTCTTTATATAGTTCATTGACATTGATGATTCCCCTATGAAAATACTCAAGTGGAAAGCGGATTTCAAACCAGATGAAGAAAAATCTATAGTCCTTGTGTGGATTCTAGTTCATCAATTACCATGTCATCTATTAAAATGACATATCATCTCTAAATTGGTAAGTGATGTGGGAGTGGCCATCCCACCTGATCAAGCCACATATTCTAAATCTCAGGGTAATGTTACTAAATTTAAGGTTGAAATAGATCTACTGAAATCAAGAATAGATAAAATCTGACTAGGATTTCATAGGTTAGATGGATCTGAAGATAGTAAGTGGCTAGACATAGAGTATGAAAAGGTTCCGAGCTATTGTCTTTACTGCAAGATGCAAGGTCATCTTGAATCTCAATGCAGAAACAAATCATGGAGCGATAGAGTTAAAGCTCAAAAGGAAGAACAAAACAAGAAAGAAAGAGAAATTAGACAAGAGTAGAATTCCAAAGATGAAGATGGTTTCCAAACAGTCACTAGAAGAAGGAATTCAAATGCCATGAGAACTGGTCATTCTCATCAACAAGAGAACAAGTGTGATCCACCCGAAAATCCAAAAGTGAACAGAACCATCAAGCCCTATAATCCAAATAGAGGCATCAACATAAATAAACCCAAGGATAATGTCAACACTAATGCTTTAAAGGAAGTACAAGGAAAAGGAAAGGATAAAGTCTTCTCTGACTGTCTTGCCCAAGAGGAGTCTCATTTGATTCAAAATATGCAGACCACTTCGCAAGGAAATGGATTGATAAGAATGCTTCTAACACCCAGTTGAAACAAAGGATCAGCAAGACCAGGAATGATAATGAGATACACAACACCAATATCAGCACAAATCAGGTTCAGATTCAAATTTCAGTTCGAAACAAATAAATATAGGTCAATCGGCACAAGAAAAGGAAGCCACAAATAACAAGCAAACTTATCAAAATACTCTCCGTCAGACCTCAAAACAGAAAGTTGCTCAAGACAAGTATCTCAAATTGATAAGTGGGGCTACCTTGGAAAATAATCAAAGTGTGGAAACCAAATTTCATCTCAAACCTGGGGAACAATCGAATATTTCAGAGGGTGAGTATAACAGCTCATCTGATGAAAATTATGTTGATCATGAAGAAAGTTTAGATTATAGCAGAGACTACGCTAGTTTGGACAGTGAGGATAGCAACAGTGACAGCTAAAAAGAAGCTTTAATAGAGATTCTCAACGCCCAAGCTTTAGTGGATGTCGCAGTGAATAATGCTTTTGATAATACCATTACGTATGGCCAATCCCTAAAAGGCAGAGGCAAAGGCAGAGGCAGAGGAAGAGATAAGAATAGAAGGGGCAGAAATTCATTAAGAGACAGTGGAGGCAGTCAACAATTCCAATGGTCTGATAAGACTTCAAACAGTTCTAATTCTCTCAAAGTTGATCATGTTTAAATCTCTTTATTGGAATATAAGGAGCATAAATTCTGGTGGTGCTCTAGAGAGACTTAAACAATCTATGAATTCTGAAAAGTATTATATTATTGCTTTAGCTGAATCTTTCCAAACTATTGATAAATTGGAAAAAAACAGAAAATTGTTGGGTTCTCAAAATGCATGCTCTAATAGTAACAGCCAATTGTGGATTTTCTGGGATTTTAATACTAATTGTGTTATTAAGGAGGAAGATGAACAACAAAACTCTTTTGAAGTTAATGTACAGGGTTCTATCCTTTTAATTATCTACATTTATGCTAAATGTAATGCTAATATGAGAGTTGATCTTTGGGATAAGCTAAGGAGCATAAGTGCAAACTACGATCTTCCGTGGATGGTTAGTGGAGACTTCAATTGTATTGTGGATCTGGCTGAGAAAAAAGGAGGCACACCTCATCGAATGTCCAAGAGCTTGATTTCATTCAATGCATAATGGACTGTAATCTCATTAATGCAGGATTCTCTGGATCTCCTTTTACATGGTGCAATGGTTGGGCTTCTGACAGAAGAGTTTGGGAAAGAATAGATAGAGTCCTTACTAATTATAAATGGGCTAATCTGTTTGACTTTACTAATATCAACCATCTTATCAAAACAGGTTCTGATCATTCCTCTTTGTTCATTACGACATCCAATCATACAACGGATCATATCAAAGTGTTGTTGAATGTGCCTGGAACATTGAAGTAATTGGTACACCCTTATGGAAATTTCATCTCAAGCTTAAGAATGTTTCTAAAGCCTTATCTGATTGGTCAAGAAACGCGGTTGGGAACATTTTCAATACTATTAAAGCTTTAGAAAAAAGAGTGGCAAATATGGAGGCTAAGTCAATCATTGATAATTTCGAATTTAACAGAACAACTCTTAATTATGCCAATGCTGAGCTTGTTCTTGCTTACAAAAAAGAAGAATCCTTCGGGAGACAAAAATCCGGCATAAAGTGGTTTGTAGAAGGTGAAGTCAATTCCATGTTCTTTCACCCTATGGTTAAAGGCAAAAAAAGACGACTTAACCTGACTACTATTAAAGATGATCAAGGTAAGTGGATAGTCCGAGAAGACAATATTGTTGAAGAGGCCATAAAATTCTTTAAACAACAATTCTCTAAAAAAGACACTGTCAAGAATAGTAAAATCATGGAGTGTATTCCAAAGTTGATCACTGAGGAAGATAACATCAATCTGATTTCTCCTACTTCATTGGATGAATTGAAAGACATCGTATTTTCCATGAGCACTCAAAGTGCACCAGGACCAGACGGAGTCTCAGGTAAGTTTTACCATTCTTGTTGGAATATTATTACACATGATTTGCTCATGATGGTACTTGATTTCTTTGTTGGTACCCCTCTTCCTCGATCTCTTAGTCACTCTTGTCTAGTTTTAATTCCTAAGGTTAAAACCCATCAACAGTTCACTGATCGTAGACCGATTAGCCTTAGTAATTTTTCTAGCAAGATTATCTCTAAATTGCTTAATCAAAGATTGTCCCCCCATATGAATAAAATTATCTCTCCTTATCATACATGTTTTATTAAAGGTAGGTCTATCTCCGACAACATCTTATTAACTCAAGAATTGGTTTATAATATTAATCAGTCTCCTAATTTAGGCAATTTGGTTATAAAATTTTATTATGACCAAGGCCTACGATAGAGTAAATTGGGATTTTCTGTCTTATGCTAAGAAAAATGGGCTTCTCTGACATTTGGATTGATAGAATTTGGAGACTCCTTTCTAACAATTGGTATTCTATAAATCTCAATGATGGAAGACATGGCTTTTTCAAATCTAGTCGTGGATTAAAACAAGGTGATCCCTTTTCCCCATCTCTTTTTGTTATCTGTGCTGAGTTGTTATCTAGATTGTTAACCATTCTCCCTAATGATGGCTTTATTCCTTACTCTGCGCATAAAAAAGACCTTTGATTACCCATCTTTGTTATGTCGATGATACCATTCTTTTTTCTTCTGGAGACCAACCATCTTTTAATATGATGATGAACAGGCTCAACATGTACGAAAAAGTATCTGGTCAGCTTATTAATAAAAATAAATCTGGTTTTCTTTTATTGGCTAATTTTCCTCTTGATTATATTCATGATGTGGAGAATGTCACGGGGTTCTCTCAATTAAAATTTCCTTTTCAATATTTGGGGTGCCCCATTTACAGAAGAAAGAAAAAAATTGTTTACTTCAACAACATGGTTGCAAAAGTTTCTCACAAGCTTCAAGGATGGCTAGGTAATTTTCTATCTTAGGTGGCAAAGCTACCCTTATCAAGTCTATTTTATATTCCCTTCCTCTCCACCTACTGTCGGTTTTATATCCTCCTAAAGGTGTCTTAAATCAAATTGAGAAGATCTTTAATAATTTTTTGGGGGGCTTTGAGCATAATAAGAAACAACATCATTGAAAAGCTTGGCATGATCTTTGTTACCCTAATGTAGAAGGTGGTGTTGATTTCAGGTCATTAAGAGATTTTTGTAACATCTTTTCTGCAAAGATTTGGTGAAATTTCAGAACTAAACATAGTCTCTTAAGACATTTTCTTCAGGCTAAATATTGCAAGAGAAAACATCCGGTCATGAGAAAATGGTCTTATAGCCAATCTCAAAATTGGAACTTATGGATGTGAAAATTCAGGCTGAACAATCCATCTTGTGAAAGATCGCAAAAGGTAATGTTTACTTTTGGTGGGATAACTGGACAGGTAAAGGAGCCTTGGCTAAACTCATTAATTTTGATAACGCTCCTAGAAGCATCAAAGTGAATGATTTTTTTTACTAATACAGGTTGGAATATTTCTAGCCTTAATGATGAACACCCTAGCAACATCACTAGTGATATTAAGGATATACAAATTCATCCTAATAAGAATTATTGGCCTATTTGGACTGTTGAGTCTACAGGTGTTTTTTCTTGTAAAAGTACATGGCATTTTATGAGAGCTCACAAGGCTCATTCTTTCACCTCTTCTATCATTTGGCACAATAAAATTCTGCTCAAGATTTCATTCTTTATGCTTAGAATGATGGAAAATAAAATTCCTACAAATATGGCTCTAAGAAAACTAAAATTCCTATCTCGTCTATGTGTTCTTGCTGCAATATTCATGTAGAGGAAACTACTATGCATTTCTTTGGTAGGAGTGAAACTGCTACTCAAGTTTGGTCTTATTTTTTTTTGAGTTGTGGCATCCCTCTTCAATTTTGCAACATTAGACAAATTGTCATGTCTTGGTGGCTTTCTAAAACTAAGAATAAGATTCACAAAGCTTTTATACAATGTTTGCCTGCTATAATTAGTTGGTAAATTTGGAAAAACAAATGTAGTGCTAAATTTGATAATACTAAGATGTCGGCTACTATATTATTAAATAGGTCATCAAAACAATGCATATGCTTATCAACAGTCTTTTTCCCATCTTTAGCACTTATCTTGAATGGCGCAAACTCTGTAGTAATATTGAAACAACTAAGCAGGTGATCAAGATCAAGATAGTTCTACGGAAGAAACCAGATAGTGGTTCGCATAAACTCAACACAGATGCTTACAACAAAGGTAATCCAGGTGGTGCTGGAGGAGGTGGAATCATTAGAAACAGTGATATGGAAGTTTCAAGCTTGCATATACATAAAATTACGGAGTGTGTAGCAATAATGTAGCTGAAGTAAGTGTTATTCTTCGAGGTGTAAAAATATGCTCTATAATGGGTCTCATAAACGTGATTGTGAAAGTTGACTCCCAACTCATTATCAACATGATTAATCACAAAATGAAGAGTTTTTGGGAGATTTTCATGTTATTGATCAGATCAACCAACTCTGCAGTGGAAAAAACTTTCTTTTGTGCATTCCTACAGAGAGGACAGTATAATAGCCGATCACTTGGCAAATTTGGGAGAATATACTAATGAGAATCTCATAATAGAAAACCTTAGTTTGCTCCCTCCATCTATCAGAGCTTTTTTGAGTTTGGATCAACAAGAAATTCTTAACTTCAGGTTTAAACAAAGAAATAATCATTTTGTGAATAATGATGTTGTCCTTGGATAGTTATGTATAGTTTACCTCTTCTTTTTCTTGTTCTGGAGGCTATGGTCTATGTCCTCCTCCATGTACTCATTTTCTTCTTTAATTTATAGGTTGGGGTCAATGTCTAAACCCCCAAGTTAAATTGTTTTTTTTAAAAAAAAAATCGCACATTGGTGGATCTTTTAATTCTCTAATTGTTATGATTGTATTTTTTATTTCTTAAGTCTTAAATTGAGAATTTATGATATGTTAGTTTAATTTAATTTTAAAGAGTCTCTATCTCTACCGGCAAATGAATGCTTTTTTTTATTTTCTTTTAATGTTCATGTTGAAGTATTTATCTTGATTAGTAGTTTTGTTTTCATTTAATCATGTATTTTAACAAGAAGAAGTCCAAGACGATGGAAGAAAGTGACCTAAACAATTTTAATTGAATATGTTGCACCGACCTGCAAAGACAAAGGTATTTAATAGCAATGATATGGCTAATGATAAAACCAATATGCAACAAGTAGCATTATGATTTTAAATTATGATGTAATTGAGAGTCTCAATTAAATCATGGAGTGACATCATTTCTATGTTAAGAAATTAGATAAATCTCATGTTCTATGCAACATTCTTCTGATTATATTTATTATTTCATTCAATACGAAGCATCATATTTGTTTATATAATTATATTTCAGCTAATACAAAGTATTGTATCTGTTGAAACCAATACAAGCACGGGCTAAATTCATCTGGTACATTAATAAGGATCATTTTAGTCATTTGAATATTTAAAAACAATCTTTGATAAATTATAATTTTCAAAATTTTATGAAAAATGTACAAATCGTAATAATTAATATGACATGTCTACGATGATATGTGCACTTTTTGGAATTACATTATTAATAAGGATAATTTTAGACATTTGAATATATAAAACAATCTTTAATAATTTATAGTTTATTTGAATTTATGAAAAATATACAAATCATAGTAATTAATACCATAAAAAAGTAATGCTCAAATTAAAATTTGAAATGGCTAAAAAGTAGTAAAATTACAATAATTAACAACTAAAGACATAAAAATTTTTATGAGACATAAAATATTTAATTGACTCTCAAAATACTACAGGTGTTATCGTGCCACATAAATTAAAACATAAGTAGTTACATATATTATTTGAAAATTATGTAAAAGAAAAATACTATAGGGCACAATAATTAAATTACTCTATTTATAAATTAAAAAACATATGTATTTGACTATCAAAATTTCCTTTATAAAAAATTATTAAGTCAATGTTGGCACGGGCTCTAATGTCTAAGGCCTCATTTGTTTTCATTAAAATTAAGACGTCTGAATCTGAATATTAAGATTCACATTAAGGCCTTATTTGTTTGCACTTATTGAGAGTCTAAATCTTAATCAATAAGATTCGCCTCATTCAGTGTGTTTGTTTTTGAGGATTGCATCTTAGTTATTCAAATTCAAATCATTAAGTTTGTTTGTTTTATTTCCTTATAAACCTCTTAATGAGTCTGAATACATCTGATTGAATCAGATCTACACACACTCTTAACATCATTCAGACTCAAAAATAAGACTCCTCCTTTCTTAATTCAACTACATCACAACAATTTATAAAAGTTTTTTTCTTATTTAATCAATGTTAATTATATGTTTATTGTTATAATTTTCTTTATTCTTACTAACTTGATATACTTTTTTTACTTTCATAAATAAATATATATAGTAGAATTTATAGCAATCATGATATAATATCTCAGAAAATAAAAAAAGTATTAATTATTTATTGATAACAACAACAATGTCCATTATAAAATAAAATATTTTCATAAACATTAAATTACTATTCTATAGAAACTATTTTTACATGCATTATATTAGATTCTCAAAGTTTTTGAGTACAAATAATAGTCATATTAATTATATAACTTAATGTTAAAATTTTAATAGATAAATCATATTACCTTGTTACGATAAAAATGTTCAAAATATTATTTTCAATAAAAAAAATTACTAAAATGAGGTTTTAATAATGTTTTGTTGATATAGCGTTTAATTTCGTATGTACATTCAGATATTGAAAACAAATGGTCCTAATAATCCAGTGTTCAGATTCAGAGATAACATCTTAATATTTAAATGTGTATTCGAATTCAGACGTCTTAATCTTAATAGAAACAAATAAGGCCTAAGATAAAGATGTCAAAATTTAAATAGTTATCTAACTATTAAGATGTACTTTCTGTCTAAACTTTAAATCATTAAGATTTTTGTTTTCAATATCTGAATATGCATAATATTTTTTAAATTAGAAATTAAACACTATATCAATAAAAGTTATAATCTAGACCAAGAATACTTCTTCCAAACAATTATTTTAAGAATAAGATTATAACACACTCCAGAAAAAAGATGATTTATTTATTTTCTCAAACAATTTTTTCTCAAGAAACAATGATAACTTCTCCAAAGAAATTTTGACAACAAATGAATTGTGACAAAAAGAGTTCTTCATAAATATCAATTCACTCAAAAATATTTTATATATTAAAAGTATCATATAAATACTTGTAAAAGATTATGAAAAAAACTTACTTATCAAAAGAAAAAAAAAAGGTACTTGATTGGAAAAGAAGAGGAAGAAATTTGAAACTTTATCCAAAAGAGAAACAATGAAGAAGAGAATTTGTTAATTTAAAAAAACGCTTATTATTTTAATAGAATCTGAATGATATCAAGACTCCGTTATATATCTGATTCATTTAGATTTTTTAAGACCTATTAAGAGGTTCTTTAAAAAAAACAAATGGAGTTAATAAAATGAATCTTAATAATTAAGATTCAAACATAAAAATCAAACACACTTAATGAATTAAATTCGAATGATTAAGATTTAAATCCTAATTAAGTGCAAATAAATGATGTCTAACACAAGGACATGTGTTTGTTGGAATTATAGTACTTTTAAGGGACATTTGGTCATTTAAATGTTTAAAAACTATATTTAATAATTTATCTAGAAATTAAGGGGGAAGGGGGGGGGGGGCGGGAGGAATTCAAATCACAATAATTAATTTTATAAAAAAAAATATAAAAATTTTATGGTCAAATTAAAATTTGATTGACTTTCCAAAATTTTATTTGTATCACGTAAATTGGATCAAATAAAGTAACATATATTATTTGAAAGAAAGTACTATAAAGCTCAATAATTATCAACTTAAAAGTTTTAAAAGACATAAAATATTTGATTAATTTTTGAAATTATATTGGTGTCACATAAATTGGGATCGAAGAAGTTATGTATTTAATCTGAAAATTAAATAAAAAATATGATAAATCACAATAGTTAACTTAAAATATATACAAATTATAAAAAAATGGTTGGCTCTTGAATTTTATTTACATCACATAAATTGATACAGAGAATAATATATATTGGTTAGCACGAGCTTCCTTGTCTAGTGTATATATACATAAGAGTAGGGGTGGGAATGGGGTAGGGCGGGAGGGTTTAGGGTTATGCGAGGCGAGTTGGATTTAAGATTGCGCAAGGATAATTACGGGGTTTGAAGTGGATTTTTTAAAATAAATATGAGGCAGGGGGTTTTCGGATCTATGCGGATTTAAACTTAATTTTATCTTTGATATACCATAAGAGTGATAGAACATTAAAATAGTTTCTTTAAGATTACTAAAATATTCAAGATAGTAAATGAAAAATGGTTCAATCAAAACTAATACAATTTCTTATATATTTTCTAATTGGGTTTTAAAAATAAAATTTTAAAACTATTTATTAAATTGATATTACTTAATGAAAAAATAAATTTTTAATTGTATAAATCTTAATTTTAGTAATTAGTATTATACTTAACTAGAAAAGAAAAATATTACTTATGCAGAATGAGTTCATGCGAGACAAGTCTAGATGATATGAATTGAAAATAAAAAAAAATTATTATGCGAGAAAAAACAAAGTGGATTAAAATTTTGTGAGCTCAACTCACCTCGTCTTACTACCATCCCCATATAAGAGAATCCTCAAGTCAGCATCTCTCAATCATGGAAAAATTAAATAGCACAATGGCCGAAAAACAATGTTAGGTGAAGAGGGTAACTTCTCTTCTTATAACGTTAACTAATCATAAATGTATGACAATAAATAATCTGCAAATATGATTCTTATTTTTATAGTTAATTAAAAAGGATCAAAATTAAATATAAGTTATTTCGTTTTATTGAGTTTCATATCTGAATTATTGAGTGAGTAAAAAGTTATTATTCAATGGTTAGCAAAACACACTTACAAGTTAGATGTATATTAAATATTTGTCTAGAAATGGTTATAAGCGTGTTTGTCTATTAAATTCTCTCCTTCCAAATCAAAGATATTAATGTCACGGCAGAGACGAGACCACAATTAAAAAGGTGAAGAAGATTGTAAATGTCACGATTGGAACAAATTAATTTCTACGATGATGATTTTTTTCTTTTAACTCTTTTTACCAAACCTTTTAATTCAATATCAATTTATTTAGATTTGCTAATGTGAATTATTTTCATGTGGAGTGTCATGTCATAAAATTTTAAATAAAATAGAGAATGTGCACATCGTATATTGAAATTTTGTGGACTCTACAAGGCATATTCAATTCGAATTGAAACTCTAGAAGGTGTGTTCGTATCATGCCCCAATCTAGCGGAGGCACAATAGAGACTCAATTCTTCACTTGACCGAACGAATCAACTAACACATAAAGAAAATGAAATAGTGAGGGACGACAAGGCTGTCATAATAACCCGTTGAAACAAAATAACTAAATCGACTAGGTCACAATAATATGAAAGAAAAAAAATAGGATGGCTAGGCCAACTTAAATATAGTGAACTAGCATGCCGACGAGGCATCATCTATGACTACGAATACAATAAATCGATAAGGCTATAAATGGAAGCTGAGAAAACCCAACCAAAAATGTCAACAAGTCTCTACGAATACTACAACTCAACTGGTTGGTTAAGTCCCAATGACGCCAATAACTACATACAAAACTCAAGTATGTAAAATTTATAATCATCCAACAACTCTAGGAAAAATGGAGCTTATCAATCCACAGCTGAGACGATAGGCGGTCAAGATATCAGTTAAAAGCTGTAGCACGACATGCAACATCCCCAGGCAATAAAACGTCAGTACGAATGAAAGTGTACTGGTATGT